TATATGTTACTTATAAATTAACGATAGTAAGAGATATTGTTATGTTTTATCACACCATACTATGATTCAGATCTTATCTCTTTTGGGTCATGTGGCTCTAGCAAAGAGATAAGTGAATCACTACGTTAGCTTCACTTTGGCGCTCTTTGTCTAAGAAGCATTTTCATTTTGTTTAGATAAAATATAGTATCACAAAAAAACTACATGAAGAACATTTCAATGTTATGTGATAACAGTGCATTTTCTCATATTTTTTATTTATCGAATTTTTCTAAAAACTTCTTAACATATTTTCAATTTGTAAAATCATGCATGGATAAATAATGTTGTAAAACCTAATTTATGTCAAAATTGTGTTCCATTAAATATAATTGACATCATAGATCTTAAATAAAAGATTAATGTTTTATCAATCGTTTATTACTGACATAGTAAATTTTTAATTACTAAAAACATATCACACACACATACACGTATAAACACATATGCACATATAAACATATATTGTTAGTTGTAATGTGTTAGTTATGTATTTTTTCACCTGAGGACAGGATTAGATTCCAGATCCCGAAACGTTGTGTATTGTTTTTTACCATCGTGATGGAAAATGTCCGCAATAAACCTTTGAACAACATTAACTCACCATCTCCAACAATGAACTTCAAACAAAGAAGCACTAAAAACAATTACGCTATGCGATTTTGTTCTTGGTCCTCCTCCTAAGAATAACGCTTTATTATACATTTTAAGTTTAGATACAACAACTATAATACCATTTAATTTTTATGGATTCTGTTAATTTATGAATTTTATTTGCTGATATCACCTAGAACAATCAGTTGTGATCGTAATATATCTACGGGATATTACGCATAAGTTTGAGAAATGTGTTTCAACAACACAAACAACACCCGATTCATTCATTGGTTTTTCGTGTTCATTTGGAAATGTAATTGCAATTACCATGCTCTAGGCCGTAATTACTCCAGACACTATGTAAAAACATAACAGTTTGCCCGAAGCAAACCAATTTGCTTGATTGTCCTCGCTGTCCCAATGAATATGTTTGAATTAGTTACATAGAACAGTAATATTGCTTTTTGCATTGTTAAACTAACGCGAGTTATTACAATGCAACAATTGCTGTGATCTATCAGTGGTTAGTCGGAAATTTGATACTGAATGTATTATAATTACGCAAAAAATAAGTCCTATAGTAGTAGAAGTATCTAAAGTGTTTCTGCTTGAAAATAATACACATTTGAATATTAATGACCTTATGAAACATATAGGTAAATGTATTTTTTACTATAACCAACATTGTACCCAGACTTAGCTTATCCGAACATAACATGGACTTTCTATTTCATGAAGTTATATTTGGTTGTTAGACACAACAGCCAGTTAGACAATTCCATTTGATCTCGTTGTTAAAAGAACTAACTTGTAAGCCCAAAGGTCATGTAATCCAAAAATCCAATATTTTTTTATATTTTTTCATATTATTGTGTCTCATAGCCCTATGGTGATATAGCTTGCAGATTTACTCACATTCGCTTCTTAACGTTTTTACCACATGATAAGTTTTCTTTGATAAGATGAGTGATTCATAAGAACTTAATTAAGTATACGGTGGGGCTTTGAGCTGTAATGGGTATATAATTTTATGTGAATCTATACAAATAATGATGACAAATTACCCAAAGCGCAGTGGAAACAACGCAGAAGAGTAAGATTAAAGATTTTAATAAAAGCATGGTAGTAATTGTTTATCATGTACGCATAAACCTAAACTAAACTGAACGAAATTGAAATATTCGCAAAGGGAGAGGGAGAGGATGTTGAGAATGTTTGTTATTGCATTAGCAGTGACAACATAAAACATTTGGTTAACCTTTCTAGACATAAACGTACTCATCGACGGTAATAATAACAACGAATCACTTCATAAAGGATTTTTAACCAAGTTTATATTCAAACGGAAAAGTTCTGAATAGACGAAATGCCAAGTTGATCTCTACATACTTTATCTCTGATTTACAGCAGATATGGGTTTGACAAGTAATAAGTTTTATGTCATCTGTTTTCTACTCATGTCCTGAATGTCAGGCGATATATGAATTATGACAAAGTGTTAGTTATTCTGAGGATTTCAAAATATGTTTTTATTGACAAAACATTGCATTTAAATCATAGTTTACTGCAACAAAGTAATCTATACAATTCTTGAAGTAAATATTTTTTTTGTGGCAGTATTCCAGTGTTTATGTTATTTCTCGAATCATCAGCCGGACAAGTTCAGGATGTTAAGGAAATGGATAATAGGCCTATGATGTACACCATAGCACCGATGCTGATTTGTTTTACTTGATAAACACAGTATATTGGTGATAGGGCTTTATGGTGCTTTGATTATTACTTTTAGTAACGTATTTTTTCATATAATAGAAGGTTAGTCAATCAGGAAGTTGAGTCAAGTGGTCAAGAGTGGCGTTTATCAACAGTTCGATTATCAATGGTCGATGATTAAGTTCATTCGAGCTAATAATTAATTACTGCACTATGTCCATCGTCGAGTTTTATTAGCAACCTACCTCTACATGAGATTCAAGTCAGGAAAGTTTTACGTTTTACTAACATATCATGAAGATTGAGTACACAAACAAATACTTTACTTTTGAAAATTAAATTGCTAAGTCAGTCACATGACTACCAGTACCTAAGTACTTATAGGCCCATACCCATTGTTATTTACTCAATCTACATTAAAATGGTACACCAATTGATACACAAGCTGTCAAACTTCGTCAATAACAAAGGTTGGTCTAGTAATTTTACCAAGTATTAGATAGATAAACAATTGATAAAAATGTGCAATAGGAAAACATTTTCAAAATCTCTAAGTGTAAAGTTCAGCTGCAGTCTATCATCATAATTTTTCGAGTTATTATGAACAGAAGCTTATCAAAATTGAAACCTTTACTCTGCGGTGAATTGGATTTTTATTAAATAGTCGTTGATTAGTTAAATCATAAAATTAAGACTTTGATTTGTGGTACTTTATAACTAAACTATAGGATTTTTAAAGAAAGTTCCCGCATAAATGTTGTAAACTATGTGTAGTATTTGTCATGCTAGAAGACGACGCTCTCGGATCGTGTTCAAACAAGATCCTTCTCGCATAACCTAAAGCTCATGTACAAACGGAGTGAGGCATTCAGCTGTGAACATGACCTTTGTGGCTGTCTTTGAGTGCTTACATGTACGTCATAGCATTTATGTACACGTTAGTAGCAAGAGCCTAACCTGCTGCTCGTATTGCAATTAGTTTATTTATTTATAATTTACTGAACACTATCAATTTAGGCTTAACTAAGTATTTCTACACTGTGTACTTGGTGTAAAAATGTTTAAAAATTAGTGAATGTCGAGAGAGAAAAATAATAGGTGCAATCCCTTTACAATGCATCATGCCAAAATTTCGAAATCGTATATTACTTCTGCTCTGAGAATGAACATAGTTTCCATTTGTTAATCGTCAGTTAGGATACATTTGATAAACTGTAAAGTTTATACTACAAGATGCTTAAACAAGATTTCAAAAAATATTTGAAATCATTTACAGTGTTCGGCTATGTATTTTTAAGTAAACATTTATTAAATTTAATTCATTTGCTTACGGTATACACAAAAATTAATATATGGTACTTTTAATTAGTACGGGCATTTTATAGTAAAATTACAAGATTTACATTTTTTTATGAACGTGTGCAGGATGTATATTATGCATACAAATAATGTGTATGCATGTATGAATGTATATAAACAATATAGGCCTAAGAATAGAAGGTTCTTGTGTCTTATACAATGGGATAGCTTTTAGAGGATCAGAGTTTTCAAATTAAAGGACCCCTTTTTAGATTAACAATAAAAATACAGCAGAATCACAAAGGGACATTCAGGTTAATACAGGACGATGCTCTTCACCTGTCACGTAAAGGACCTGTTTATGTTCTACTTAAGGCAACAAACTTCAGTTTCGTCAAGCGCTATGCATTAAAAATTAGATGCAGCAAAGTTCGAAACAACCCTCGACTCACTACCTTAATTCTCATTTAGACATTGTGAAAAGCTAGAACCATTCTTCTAAGCCAACCCCTATTTTTCAATGAGGTGAGCTTAAAATCTGAATATGGTGCGGATGTCCACATGGTGTTCATTAACCGATCACCAAACTAATAGCTTATAGACAAATTTAGTCGAAAATATGTAAAGATTATCTTTATAATATTGTCTAATATATCGATTGTAATATTTTCTGCACAAAAATCATGATTCGTGATGATCTTACGACACAATATACATACACTAAAATATATATTACCAAACATAATCAGAAGGGAAATCCTGACTATACGTGGTTAATTTATGTTTTTTTTAGATTTTGAAAAGTGAATGTATTCATGTGGTTTTCATGTAATTATGTATTTGGGCAAAACTAATAATTTTATATCACCAATCTGTACGATTCCAAGCTTTAGTAGGTAAAGGCTTGGTAACCAACAATATTGGTGATGCAAACTATTTATTTAAGTCATTTTAAAGAGACAAATTTACTTTTGATTAAAACTCAGTAAATACTAAAAGATGGCATGTAAAGTTGGCTTATGAAATGGCCATGTGATGAAGAGAGGTGGATCACTTGAGTGAAGTCTCAGCCAGTAATACACTTCATCAACATCGGTCCTTGATCGCTGAACTGCTGATTAACTCTGCTATTGACCACACTTAGACGTATGACTGCTCTGTTAACTACCTTCTACAGAGCAATTCTTCATCTTACGGGGTTTCTCAACGGTAACGTCCATTGAAGGATAAACTATATTTTTTATATCATTCTATCTTATACACATTTACAACTGCTGTACTATTAAGGTCTACTTTATTTCCTTCAATAAGTAATGTTGTGTATTTTTACAATAGTTCCAAATAGAATAGAATAGAATAGAATAGAAAAGTGCTTTATTGAATACATACTATGTACAGTAGGCTACATGAAATGGGTGCGATAATTTATACATGCACATACAACAATGGTCATACGACCGTCTGCTGGGTTGGCATTAATGTCCATTCAATATTAATAAAATAAAATTGTCCCACATAAATCAACATACTGAGCACTAAAACAAAATAAAATAACACTTCTTTATGCACACATATACATAGATATATACACATACACATGTATGCATATATACACATATATTTATACTCTAAACATATTGTAATATAAAATTTTAAAAATTAAATTCCCTAACTAGCTCCCATCTACGTTTCCATGCAATTTTTAAAAAATTTCCAAGGCCCCGCCAATCCTTCCCATTCAAATAATCCACAAACTCCTCATATTGTATTTTTTGTTCACCAAAATACAAGAGTCGCAAGTCATTGAACACAGGGCAACTAGCCACAAAGTGTTCCAATATATAGTTCCAAATATATTACCCTTTTGGTAAAATTGAATTTTGAAAATTAGCACTGTCAAAATTATACAATGCTATGCTTTTAGGCTAAAGCTGGTGAAATGTCTTGAAAATAATAATTAGATTACCAATTTTACATGTCAAATTATATAAAACATTTAATCAACACAAAACTTAGCTCTTATATGTGCAACTGATAAAACATTTGAATATAAGGGATTAATTCACGATTGGAAAACCCAAATGGCAATAAAAGTTAAACATAGGTTGTCGACATTGACGAACTTAAAACAGGATTGGTAATAAAGAAAACTCTGTTAAAACACACATTGTATAGTTGATTTAATAAAGTAAAACAATTCTTGGCCATGTCAACATCATCTAAATAACAAATATTTTAACCTGTGAAGGTAATGTAAATATTATACTTTTGTGGCTGTTCTAGATGAAATTATAAATGTAAACATAATAATAAAGCTTTTCATATGTAAAGTATGAAAAAGAAAGGGTAATCTTTTTTACGTTTTAATTTAACAATTTTTATTTAAGTTATTTAAAGATATTTTATTTAAAAATTGTCACATTATACTGCACGCTAAAATATGGCCCTAGGCCATTAACTAAGGTTGATATATAAGGCTGCCTATTGAATTTGCAGCACCCATCCATATTTCTTTGGCTGTTTTTCGAGCATCATTAAATTTATTGACTAAATCCCTTTTGTTGATTGAATTGATTAAATCTTCAAGGTCTTTACGTTCCAAGAAATTCACGAAATTTCTTATATCGTCTTCTGGAAAAGGCTTGTCTTTAGGTGAAACTATGGATACAAAATCAGGAGAAGGTGCGGCTGCTACCACGACAGCTAGTGCCAAAACCTGCAACAGTATTTTGTTGAATTGGCTATGGTTTTTTGTGTGTAAACATTGCACTGTTAGTATGTAGAACCGATTCGGTTTCCACGCTGTTTTTAAACTATAGATGCAAATTTCCTCCACAAAGAATTTACTACCTCATTTCATTACGAACGATATATTTTTTAACATCTTTAGCAATAATAAAGGAAAGTGTTCATTGTAAAACAAACATGTTTAATCAGTTTGCTTAAAAGTTCCACGTACACAAACATTACCTTAAGCGTTTTGTTAAAACATTTTCCTAAACTTTAAAATAACCCTTTGCATTCTTGTGGTAACTAAGACAAAAGAAAGCATAATTTTTTTAACTTGAGTGCATTTTTTAAATCTTTTATTAAAAAATTTATTAAAAAATTGAATTAATGAAAAAAAAATAAACCGGGAAAAGGCAGACAATCTTAACTATAACTGTTACTTACAATCAAACTACACTTATAAACACCTCCACTTGTAATTATCAGACCTTTAATTTTTACAACCTTGTAGTACAACCATTTATAAAATTTAATCGTAAATGCGATTGTGTAAATTAACTCAAATAGCAACATAAGTTTTGTAGTAACGCCCTTTACATGAGCATTAAGCTAAGTTTTATAATGTTTTACCAGAATGCTAAGTGAACAAATACATGAAAAATTTGCCAAAACTTAACCTACCGTACATTTGGAAAATTAACAAATACTACCCCCATTCCCCAAAAACTACCCATTTATTGTTTTAGAGAAATTTCAAAATTATTATTAATTTCAACAAATTCTACGGCGTTAAAATATGGGGGTTTAAGTTTTTATCTACCTCGATTGGTTTGACCGCTACACACAATACATTGTTTACGCGTGGTCTGTCTCACACTGTATAAGATAAATTGGTGGATTTAAATTGGTAAGATATATGATTTTATTATCTATATAAGCGTTTTTAACCTATTATAAGTTTATAATACATTCCATATCATAATTTTTGTTTTATTAATACTCACAAATAATGATAGCTTAAGTGAAACTAAGGGAGTTTTAACACTAACGTAACTAATATACAAATTTTGAATAAAAGTATATTCACTCACCAAAACCCAGTACATAGTTGCTGTCATTTTACTGATACGTTTAACTGATGAAATCTCCTTTAAGTAGTTGCAATAATAGCTGTTACATTTGTTATCGCACACTTTTCAATATTCTTGGTAGCCGTAGTATGACGACTTACAAACGTCAGACGCTGAGACTTGCAAAACTACATTAGTAGTTTGGACCATCATTGTTTATCAAAGGATGTTTAGTGACCGTCTTCAATGTAGTAAGCAGGTCAATATAGGGTATTAACCCCGGAAGATCCATAACTGTTTACACTTTGTTGGTTTGCCCAGTACTGTACTATATTCATGTTTATCTAATGAACTGAGTTATACCATTGACTGTTGTTGTATTAATAGTCAAAGGTTATACACTGTTCGTATATGCAATACTTGGAAGTACGTGTATAGTTACTGTTTACTTGAATAATAAGCAATAAATTAGAATCTTTGTAGTTCGATAACAAATCGATTCAAATGATAAGAGAGTACTATTTTCATAGAGATTTCAGACTCTACGACATTGAACATTTATCCACGAAATTTTTTAATTCAGTAAGAGGACACTTCCTCAAACAAATTTGATCATTTTATGTAATATGAAAAATAATACTTTGGTATTATAGCTTAAATCAAACTTACTTTTATTTTCACTTTTTAAATCATCGTATGACTTGTTATTCCTTATTATTTACAAATCAATATATCAAAGAAAGTTAAAATAACTTTTTGCTTCAAAATAAAGGCGTTGAAATGCTATTTCTATAGCCATATAGTTAATGTGTCCTCAGTTGGGCATTAGCACACATAGACTATAATATTATTATCAAGTCTAAAGACTTAAGTTTCTGATTGTTTTCAAACAAGATTCTTCTCTCATAACCAAACAAGCTCGTTTACAAACTAAGCTTCGAGTCATTCATCAATGACCTCCAGGACTGTAGGCCTATGTGTGTAAATGCTTATGTATATTCTTGGTAGATAGTTTAAAATATTTTTAAAAATGTCAATCTCAAACTGGCCCATGCGTAAACGGTTATACACTGTGTTACAGTGTTTTAACACGAACAGTTGAAGCCGTGCAAGGAATTAGCAATATACTTACTACATAGTAAATGTTTATATTTGTTTTAAAAATCTGAATTAAGTTCATTAATATTGATTATACTGTTTTATGGACTTTCAATATAAAATATAAACTGAAAAATGTGTCCATAACAAATAAAGAAGTTGCATCCTTTCAAATTTGTTAGATTTTGCAACTTTTAAGCAAGCCGACCGTCTGAATATTGTTAAAAGTAAGAACTGTCCATGTAAATAGATTTCTATCTAACGCATAAAATATATATTTTAGAATTTAGCCTCCGGATTACGTTGAATATATTAAAATGGTGTAAATACCTGCTTCGTGGTAATCCTAATGTTGCTAGTGTCGCAACTAGTTTCGACTTTTTACAAAGTCATCTTCAGGCGAAGGCGTCAAGGATGTCAAATGGTGGTCACTTCATATGAAGGTCGTCATTACACATAAAGTACATAAAAACACGAACACGAACACGGACATTAACACGTAAAAACGGTACATTTAACACGATTAAACGAACAACGGTAACTGTATCGTGTCACATCATTCCTTTACAGTTACCGTTGTTCGTTTAATCGTGTTAAATGTACCGTTTTTACGTGTTAATGTCCGTGTTCGTGTTTTTATGTACTTTATGTGTAATGACGACCTTCATATGAAGTGACCACCATTTGACATCCTTGACGCCTTCGCCTGAAGATGACTTTGTAAAAAGTCGAAACTAGTTGCGACACTAGCAACATTAGGATTACCACGAAGCAGGTATTTACACCATTTTAATAAAATATATAGCCTACTGCTTTAATTATTTTAACAACTATTTATCAAGAATATGCAATGCAATACTAAGTATATACTTTATGTTCGCAATTTAAAATCTTTCTACAGCATCATAATTTGATACCAAACAAAGAAGCAAGAAAATAATTAAAGAGAACAATGCTTTTTAGTTTTCTCGAGAAAAATAAAAGGTCAGCGCCAAATCCCCTCTATTGCTTGGTTTTTAACAGTATATTTACAGTTAAAAATATTTATACCTTCACTTATAGGCATGACTTGTATGTTGACTTATAGGTTTGGTTACTTGTAGGCCATTGATCAAAATTTATTTAGGCCTAATTCATCTAGGCTAAAAAGGTATTTAGGCTAATTTAATTGCATTTTATAATTCAGGTAATAATTTAATTTTGATACTACTGTAAACAGTTCGAATAAAATTCCAACAAAGCAACTATTATTATATTGATGTACCAATACAGCTGTGGTATTTTGCCCTTCAACCCTGTACTGCCAAATTCATAAATACAGTACCAGTATTTTTTAACATGATTTTGATATTGTAATATATAATATTTCCACACTACACTAGTGTTCAATAATAGTGTTACTTGAATATTTTGACTTAGTTATGTGGAGTTTCCTTCTCTCCCATTATATATTCACCTCCACATATCGGATCCCTAAGTCTTGTATTAATTAACATTGTTGATGCTGCATATTAAAACATGGGGATCCCTCAGGGCTTGTAGGGCTACGGACGTTGTAGCTTTGTAGCCGGGAAACTGGGGGCTTCATCGGATACAATATATCTGATCGATTTTGGTTAGCAGGGCAATATCTAGGAGGATGCCTAGTATTCCAGCTTTTAACCTAAATGATTTTGAAATCGTAAATGTAAAGTCAGAATAAGTGAATGTCTATAAGTGAACATGAATCTTTGTAAGTCAGGATACAGTATAAAAGAGATAACATGTTGCGAGGTGCTACGATTTTTTTTACAAATACAAATTTGTATCATCAGAGTTTCCCTACAATGGCTTTTAGATTCTCCAACAGTTAACAGTGCAACTAAATGTTTAGTTAATTTTTGCAGTGGTTCGTCCATTAGCCTTTATGGTAATACATGACTCAATCTGAGTAACGACGAAAATGGTTGTATTTACATAAATCACACAATTAAGAATATCTCCATTGAAGTAATTACCATGTATTAACTAGTATTGTTTCTTGTCTCATATAACATTCATATTTTTTATCAGAATTACCTTATTAAAATTTTAATGACAAAAATAAATATCCCTTTTGGAAACTAAAATTGTATTTCACTCATCCATTTGCTCTGTCAACATGCAAATAGATGTATTAAAAATATGCTGGCAATGCACATGATTTGTACTTGACAAAGGGACTAGGATTGACAGGTAGATTTGTCAGGTTTGTGGATATATGAGCTATCACAGCACATGTGTTCAAGTACATATGCTCTATACATCTGAAAACACAATATGCATAATCTCGATTTACCGAAGGGAGAACGTATAGAGAGAGACCTAAGTATAATACCTTATACCACTTACCTTAGTATAATAAAGTAAATAGCTGTTTAGATTGATACTTACTGATAAAGACAACTGCATTATCACTTGACAATATTTTAAATATGTAAAATTAGTACAGTCAAGTTAATATCCGTTTTGTTTATTCGATCTATTGAGATTGCATGGTGAAATTTAATTTTGTGCCAAGTGGCGCAGCAAGGCCTCAATGTACAGTAGCTTAGGTATGTGAGTGATAGCTTAGGTATAATTCATATATTTAGGAATCCATTTAAATACAAATATTCATAATTCACCTTATTAACATTGATTTAGATGTTTAGATGAGTTATAAAAGAAGAACAAGACTTGAAGGATAGATGTAATATATAAAGAATATTTGTTTACCATTTTTCTAGTAAAATTAAAATGAACCTTGAAGGTTGTAATGAACGTTTAACCTTTGTCAGTTTTTTTTACAGAAACGCCTTATCGATACACAGGTCTATTTTCCTTTTTTAGTAACTAGTCGTTATTTTTGTTTTGTTTTTGTTAACATGAATATGTCGATATATTTAGAATACTTTACTTGCAGGAGCCCTCGGTGATAAAAATAGTACGCAGAGGTGTTAAGAATTTAATAGTATTTTATAATTGTATTGAATGTTATTCTAAATTTTATAAACCTATTTTTGTTAAAAACCATGTAATTACATGCAATAATGTTTAACATCGCTTAAATTCAATTTTAATTTCATTTTGTATCCAGATGATGTAACAAATAGATAATGTTAAACATAATAATATATATCTTTAAAAAATTATAACTAAACATTTTTCTATTTTTATGTAGTTATATAAGGAATAACTAATATCCTAATGAGGTCATAGCCATGACTTTCTATTGAATACTGAAAATGGAAATGCTGACGCCAAGGATATTTTATCGGTAAGTAATCCATCGTCTTTCAGCAGATTATTCCAACCGATCTCTTTGGGTTTGTCCAATTCACTTCAGTATTAGTCAGTATCTCAGAAGTCATTAGCATTTCCCTTGGATCCCTGCAGCACTTAAACTACCAAACCTACATTACATTGTACCCTCATGGGCATGATAAGTGCTAGCACATGTATATACTCCCAGAGCTGGATCTTTAGATTAATCTACAAAAAATGTCTTAAAATATCTACAAAAAATGTAATGATGCTTACTTAATTTCAAAGACATATTTTTATGGTGTTATAGCATTCTTGAATTATTTATTACTACACGTTGATAACCATCCCTACATAAGCGAGAAGTATTAGACAATAGTGCGAAAGTATATTTTCAAGTACAGAAAGCCATTAATTCAAATGTAATAGTAATGCTAAAGTTGTTTTGCTTACCTCATTCTTAGAACCAGTTAATGTCGCATAAAAAGAGTTTCGAAACAAACCTAAGATTAGGTATAGAAGAACTAAGTCAAAAGGGGTTGAAACTTGTTATATTTCCCTATGTTTTCTTTATTTAAACAAACATTAATTTGGAATGCCTTTGACCAATCCCACGTTTACGATATTTTCCTCTGCAGATTTTAAAGGGTTAGTTTTACTAGTTGAAAAAAGTGCTGCTGCAAATTTCGTTTATA